CACCACCTCCAGGGACAATGCCAAAAGCCAGCTGTATCTGCAAATGAACAATCTGAAACCAGAAGACACGGCTGTCTATTACTGTGCAAGAGGTGCACAGTGAGAGGAAGTGAATCTGAAGCCCGCCAAGAACTTTCTCTACTTCTGAGCATCTTTCAAATATTTTCAGTCACTCCCTTTTTTTCTTTCTTTCAATATTGCCAAACTTCCACTGTCTCATTCTTTTCTGCAAGTTGTGCATTTTCCATTCCTTCTCCATTAATTTATACTCCATGTCCTGAAACCCAAGTCTCTATGCTTCTTAATCCCTTCTACATTGATCTACCTCATTCCCGATGGTTTACTTCACTTGTTTCACATGAACACTTATTTAATCAAAAGAATAAGCAGACATAAACACATAAAAGTGCACTCATACACTTTTAAAATTCATGGCTTATTTTATTAATCAACCCCTCCAGTCTCTAATTAGATATTACATCATTGTTGATGACTAATTGTCTCATTTTTGTATTAAGATTTGAAATAGAACATGCAAAATTCGTTCATTTATTTCTGTCATATATCTAGTTATCATTTATTTAAAGTTTGACTACATAATGTTAGCTACATATGATTAGCCAGCCAAAGAGCAAAGTAGACATTATGCAAATGTCTTTGATCACTCTCGCTGGCTAAACTTCTTATTACTTAGGCCTTCCTACCTAATTACCAAGCTACCTGTATCATTCATTCATTCATTCATTTATTCTTTCATTCATTCATTCATACAGACATACACACATACATAAAGGTAAAGGTTCCCCTTGCACAAATGTGCTAATCGTTTCCAACTTTTGGGGTTGGTGCTCATCTCTGTTTCAAAACCGAAGAGCCAGTGCTGTCTGAAGACGTCTCCGTGGTCATGTGGCCAGCATGACTAAACACCAGAGGCCCACGGAACGCTGTTACCTTCCCACCAAAGGTGGTCCCTATTTTTCTACTTGCATTTTTACGTGCTTTCGAAGTGCTAGGATGGCAGAAGGTGGGACAAGTAATGGGAACTCACCCCCTTACACAGCACTAGGGATTTGAACCGCTGAACTGCCGACCTTTGATCGAGAAGCTCAGCATCTTAGCCCCTGAGCCTCCACGATCCTTTACCTACATACATACATACATACATACATACATACATACATACATACATACAATTTAAATGCCACCCATCTCTTTATTAAGCTTCTCCCAGTAAAAGTAGGCTGAAGTTAAATAAGAATCCCCCACCAGCATATGCAATATTCACAAATTGAGGAAACTTCTGGAGCAAAAGAAGAAATTCTTTGGAGAATTAGGAAGTTGTGTTCTCTTCTCAGTTTTGACACCTGAGGGCAATGTTGTCACACAACACTCTCATGAATGAAAGTGAATATAGTCGTCCCAGGATAATGTTGCAGTATCGCATGTGGCTCATTCACCAAGACCAAAGGTTGAGTCATCTGAGCTTTCAGACTCATGAGGGAGCTAGGGAATTTCTCTCTAGTTTATAACAGTAACAGAGTTGGAAGGGACCTTGGAGGTCATTTAGTCCAACCCCCTGCTCACGCAGGAGACCTGTACTAGGGATTCGAACCGCTGAACTGCCAACCTTTCTGATCGACAAGCACAGTGTCTTAACCACTGAGCCACCTAGTCAGGCTAGTTCCTACAGTCTGTAGCCATTTCTTTTTACTGTTTATTTCAGTCTGTTTCTACATTCTTAACCTTCCTTCCTTCCTTCCTTCCTTCCTTCCTTCCTTCCTTCCTTCCTTCTTTCCTTCCTTCCTTCCTTCCTTCCTTATTTTTTTTTAAGTTTTAGGATTGCCGATCTTGAGGAATCAACTCTGGGCAAGTAAGAAGTAACAAAAACAGCACACAAAATAGCCTCTAAAACAAAAATGATTTTTATCTGCGTTCATTTCTTTTGGGTTCCTTCAAAAGGTCATGTTAAACGAGATGGGGGAAAGTATCAAACCTTTCCTGAACTCAGATGTGCTACTGTTTTCCTATCTTCCTATCTTTCAAATGTTCCTAGTGGTTGTTAATGATTTATGATGTTGAATCAGAATAGGATAGAATAACAAGAGTTGGAAGGGACCTTGGAGGTCTTCTAGTCCAACCCCCTGCCTAGGCAGGAAAACCTATACCATTTCAGACAAATGGTTGTCCAATCTCTTCTTTAAAACTTCCAGTGTTGGAGCATTTGCAACTTCTGGAATCAAGTTGTTTTACTGATTAATTGTTCTCACTGTCAGGAAATTTCTCCTTAGTTCTAAATTGCTTCCCTCCTTGATTACTTTCCACCCATTGTTTCTTGTTCTGCCCTCAGGTGCTTTGGAGAATAGCTTGACTCCCTCTTCTTTGTGGCAACCCCTGAGATATTGGAAGACTGCTATCATGTCTCCTCTAGTCCTTCTTTTCATCAAACTAGACATACCCAGTTCCTGCAACCATTCTTCATATGTTTTAGCCTCCAGTCCCCTAATCATTTTTGTTGCTTTTCTCTTCACTTTTTCTTGAGTCTCAACATCTTTTTTTATATTGTGGTGACCAAAACTGGACGCAGTATTCTAGTTGTGGTCTTACTAAGCCTCCAGTCCCCTAATCATCTTTGTTGCTCTTCTCTGCACTCTTTCTAGAGTCTCAACATCTTTTGAGAAGTAGCAGGATTTTGCAAGTCTTTGTTTTCGTTATTGTTCTGTAAAGGCTGCTTCATTTACGCTTGGACTGGAAGTTGTGTAAAAATCAACTGTGCAGGGCCTGTGCAAGGACAACTGTGAAAATCCTGCTCTGAGGAAGTCTTTTGTCTCAAGCAATATGCAAATGAAGACACAACTTCCTCTTTAAAGGCAACAGTTGACCCCCATCAACACAAAGTTTGTACATTTCCCCACATCCTTTCCTATCACACATCCCCTCTCTCCATTTACTAGAGAGAGGCAGAAATGATCCTGTGCTAAACTTTTTATTTTTATTTGTACTCTTTGGAGGTAATGTTTCACTCTAACTAGAGTTTCCTCCCATTTGCTGTTCTTATATATAGGAGATCTCATTGAAACATGTTTCTTTCTAGGTGTCCAATCTGAGGTTCAATTGGTGGAGTCTGGAGGGGATGTGAGAAGACCTGGAGAGTCCCTCCATCTCTCTTGCCAAGCCTCTGGATTCACCTTCCACAACCATGAGATGAGCTGGGTAAGACAGGCTCCAGGGAAAGGACTGGAATGGGTGGCAATGGAATATATGTGGTCTTCAGATATTTACTACTCTGACAAAGTGAAGGGCCGCTTCACCATCTCCAAGGACAATGCCAAAAGCCAGCTGTATCTGCAAATGAACAGCCTCAAACCAGAGGACACGGCAGTCTATTACTGTGCAAGACACAGAGTGAAAGGAAGTGAATCTGAAGCCTGTGAAGAACTTTCTCTGCTTCTGAGTTATTTGTACTCAGTCCCTTCATTTCTTTCAATATGATTGAATTTCCTCAGTTTCATTCTTTTCCATGTAATTCATTTTTCATTACTTCTTCATTAATTGATATCAACTTGCTTAAACCTATCTCTTCTTCCTTCTTAAATCTTTCTACATTAATCTGTATAAAATCCCCAGATGCCTGGAGCTCCTTCCCCTCAGATGGGCAGTGCAAAGACTGCCAGATATTAGCAACTGGAAATCTCCATTCCCATGAAGCCTTCTGGGTCTGTAGGTTTTGTGGTGTCTCCCTGCTTGGTTGTGTTGTAACCCAGGCCCACGTAGTTGATATTAAGTTCAAAACAGTTCCGAAAAACAAACGGATTTTATTAAAACAGCTGAGAATTAACTCATTCTCAGCGTATTCCAAATTAAATGAAAGCAAAGTCCTCAAAACACCATTCTTTAGTTTATCTCTGACCTTGGGATAATTAGGCAAACTGCCAAAGGATTTTCTTGGCAACAGTTCAGGAACAGAAGAAATAACTACAGCCAAACAAGAAGCAATTCTCTCAACGGTTGTTTTCCAGCAAAGAGGCCAAGAGCCGTTGCTGGTCTTTTAAGCCTTATGGGAGGAGCCAATCATCTCTTGGCCCTATTCCCAAGTCGTCCTCTCTGCTTTAGCTGCTCCTGCTCCTGCTTTTCTCATACATGCACTAGGAACAGGCTCCTCCTGTTCCTCTGCCTCTCTACTGTCAGCCTCTGGAGGCTCCAAAGTCCGGACATCACTCCCCGATGTCCCTGGCCCCATCTCTGTCTCCGATGCAGAGCCCTCATCCAGGCCTTCCTCAGCCTCCATGACTGGCCCATGTTCTTCCTCAGCCTCATCGCTGTCTGACTCCACTGCCCGCTCCTCAGGCTGCTGTTGTGGACCACAACAGGTTGTCACTTCTTGTTGTTTACTCTTACTACCAGAGGTTTTGACATGATGTGCTCCATTACAATTCAAATATATCAGTTTATTTTCTCTGTAAGAACATGAAACAAATCCTATGGTTTCATCTTGTATAGTTTTCAATTAGTCTTGAGAGCTTTGAAGACTCATGCTAGGTAGAACAAGTCGAAAAGCTCAGAAAGCTAAACCTCTGGTCCCAGTAAATGACCCAGATTGAATCCTACATCACAACACACTATTGCCATTTCTTTTTTCTGTTTCTTTTCAGCCAATGTCTCCATTTTTAATTTCCTTCCTTCCTTCCTTCCTTCCTTCCTTCCTTCCTTCCTTCCTTCCTCCCTCCCTTCCTCCCTCCCTCCCTCCCTCCCTCCCTCCCTCCCTCCCTCCCTTCCTTCCTTTGGTGGTGAAATTTTTGCAAATCTTTGTTTTAGTTGCTCTTCTGTAAAGGCTGCTCCATTTTTCTTTGGACTGGAAAATTGTGTAAAAATCAGCTGTGCAAAGACAACTATGAAAATCCTGCTCTGAGGAACTCTTTTATCTCAAGCAATATGTAAATGAAGGCCCAATTTCCCCTTTAAAAGCAACAGTTAACACCCACCGACACAAAGTTGAATTTCCACCCATTCATTACTAGCAGAGCAATAATGATTCTTTGGCTGAACTTGGTGTCCTTACTTGTATCCCTTGGAGGTAATGTTTCCCTCTATGTAGAGTTTTCTTCCATTCACTGTTCTTGTTTACAGGAGATCTCATTGAAACATCTTTCTTTTTAGGTATCAGATCTGAGATCCAATTGGTGGAATCTGGAGGAGATGTGAGAAGATCTGGAGAGTCCCTCCGTCTCTCCTGCCAAGCCTCTGGATTCACCTTCAGCAGCCATTACATGGCCTGGATGAGACAGGTTACAGGGAAAGGACTGGAATGGCTTACACATATGGGTAACACGGACTTTTACTACTCAAACAAAGTCAAGGGACGCTTCACCATCTCCAGGGACAATCCCAAAAGCCAGCTGTATCTGCAAATGAACAGCCTCAAAGTTGAAGACACAGCCGTCTATTACTGTGCAATATACACAGTGAGAGGAAGTGAATCTGAAGCCCGCCAAGAAGTTCTTGCACATATTTTCACTAAGCCCCTTTTTTTCTTTCAATATTGCCAACTTTCCACAGTCTCATTCTTTTCTACAAGTTATGCATTTTTCATTCCTTCTCCATTAATTTATACTCAGTGTACTTAAACCCAAGACTCTATCCTTCTTAATTCCTTCTACATTAAGCTATTTAAAATCCCCTAATGCCTGTAGCATTGTCTCCTCAATTGGCCAGTCTTAAGACTGTCAGATATTGGTGATTAGAAATCTCTACTGCCACGAAGCCTTCTGGGTCTGTATATTTTGGACTGTCTTCCTGCCTTGTCATCATTGCTTGATGGTTATTCTTACCACCACCTATAAATCAGGATAATGTTTGACATGATGTGGTCGTTAATCGAGTATGGGACACGTTCCCTTCCCTCAGCTTCTTTCCTCTACAAGGAAATGCAACAAATCCCTTGGTCTTGTCTTGTAACCCTAACCCTTGCTGAATTTATTTATTTATTTATTTATTTATTTATTTATTTATTTATTTATTTATTTATTTATTGGTTCGATTTATATGCCACCCTTCTCCGGAGAAGGGTGTCTTACAATGCGTTAAGCAATAGCGTTAAGCAATAGCCTTCATACTTTTGTATATACCTGCTTAGTAGGGCTTTCGCCTCCCCCTAAGCGGTGTTCTTTTTATACAAAGTCAGTTTATTGCCCCCAACAATCTGGGTCCTCATGACAGATATTGACAATTGTAAATCTCTCCTCCCGTGTAGCTTTCTGGGTCTGTATATTTTGGACCATCTTCCTGCCTTATCGTCATTGCTTGATGGTTATTCTTACCACCACTTATAAATCAGGAGGACTTTTGACATGATGTGGTCTATATACTAACTTTGGGATATGGGACACATTCTCTTCCCTCAGGATTTTACCTCTACAAGGAAAGGAAAGAAATCCCATGGTCTCATCTTGTAGACTTCTAGATTTTGAGGTGGCTACAGGAAAGAAATTCAGCTGCACAGCTTCCACATTGCAAGCAAGAATTTTACTTAGTCCAATGTAAGGCTACACATTGTATGAATTATCAAAAATATTTGTCTTGGTATTTATAAGGACATCCCCCTATATAATTGTATGCGTGTATGATAGATATGTTTAAAAAAATCTAATAAGTGAATGAAGATATGACTTTTTATATCCAAAACATCCATACATTAAGAGACATTAGGCAATTGTTCTTTACTTGATATATATCTGTGGCATGGCAAACCAGAATACAAAGTGACTCATTTATATCTTTCTCTGGCAACTGGGAGCATATTGGTTAAACAGTCCTGTCAATCAGAATAGAAATGGAAGGGACCTTGGAGGTCTTCTAGACTAACCCCCTGCTCAAGCAGGAGACTCTAATACCATTTCAGACAAGTGGTTGTCCAATCTCTTCTTAAAAACCTCCATAGCTTCTGAAGGTTGATCATTTCCACTGGTTAATTGTTCTCATTGTTAGGAAGTTTCTTGGTTTAAACAGATTTAACAGATTTTCTGGACCGGGATGCCCTGTGCACAGTCAGTCATGCCCTCGTCACGTCCCGTCTGGACTACTGTAACACTCTCTACATGGGGCTCCCTTTGAAGAGCACTCGGAGGCTCCAACTGGTCCAGAATGCAGCCGCGCGGGTGATTATGGGGGCGACATGGCGCATCCATGTAACACCTCTCCTGCACGAGCTGCACTGGCTCCCGGTGGTCTCCGGGTGCGATTCAAGGTGTTGGTTACCACCTTTAAAGTGCTCCATGGCTTAGGACTGGGGTATATACGAGATCGCCTTCTGCTGCCGATAGCCTCCCACTGGCCAATACGCTCCCACAGAGAGGGGCTCCTCAGGGTGCCGTCGGCCAAACAATGTCGACTGGCGACACCCAGGGGGAGAGCCTTCTCTGTGGGGGCACCAGCCCTCTGGAATGAGCTGCCCCTAGAGGTTCGTATGATCCCCGACCTGCGTACCTTTCGCTGCGCCCTGAAGACTCTTTTATTCCAACAAGCCGGGCTGGCCTAATAGGAATTTTTAAATTGGATGTTTGTTAGTTTTTAATTTCGTGGGCCAAATTTTATATATTTGTTTTTAAATTGTTCTTAAATTTTGTGGTTTATATGTGTTTTTAATATGGCTGTACACCACCCTGAGTCCTTTGGGAGAAGGGCGGTATAGAAGTTCAATAAAATCTAAATCTAAATCTAATCTAACAGATTAACAGAGTTGGAAGGGACCTTGCAGGTCATCTAGTCCAACCCCCTGCCCAAGCAGGAGAACCCTACATCTGCCTCTACCTAGGATCGAACTCACAACCTCCTGATTGTGAGGCAAGAGCTCTACCTCTAGGCCACAGATTGTGTATCTTGTGGCCATCCAAATCAATTGTGCTTTCTAAGCTATTCTCAGTTATTTACTCTACATCACATGAACACTGATTTCATCAACAGACTAAAGTTTAAGAATAAGCATTCATTCATACATACACATACAATTTTTAGCAGGTTTTCCCATGTTATGTAGCGTAATGGATCACCAGCATTTAGAGAAATACTGCAGAATCTTCCCACACACATATACAATTTTTTAAATTCGTATTTTTTTTTAATAACACCAACCCTCCTATCTCTAATGCAGATATGAAATCATTCTTGATGGGTGATTCTCTCTCTCTCTCTCTCTCTCTCCTTCCCTCCCTCCCTCCCCCCCCTCTCTCTTTGGATTTGAAATAGAACTTGCACAATTCTTTCTTTTATTTCATCTGTTGTATATCTGATAATCATCTGTTTAACATGTTTGGCGTACTACATTTGACTGGCCAGTCAAAATACAGAGTAGACACTGTGTGAATGTCTTTGATAAACCTCTGGGGTCAAATTACTTATTATTTATACCTTCCTGCAAGATCACCATACTAGCTGTATTGCTTCTTTCTTTATTAAATGTCTGCATTGCATTGGCATCCTTCAGTCTCAAGAGACTATGGTATTGTGCTCTGGAAAGAGATCCTAACACAGCATCTAGTGTGACTAAAAAGGCTAATTCGAGAGTGGCAATCCCTTCCACACTGAGGGCAGAAACATTCTGTCCCCTGCCCAGCCCCCAGATTTCACTGGTTCTGGGATTGCCTCTTTGCCTCAGCCTGCCGAACAAGGGTCTCTTCAAATTGGAGGACGCCATGCTGTGTCTTTAGCCTCCAAGCTGAACAATCAGAGGTCAAGGTTTCCCAGTTGTTAATGTCCATTCCCTTTAGGTCCCTCTTGCAGATATCCTTATATCACAACTGTGGTCTCTCTCTGAGGTGCTTTCCCTGCACTAATTCTCCATACAGAAGATCTTTCGGAATCCGACCATCAGTCATTCTCACAACATGCCCCAGTCAGCGTAGACGTCACTGTTTCAATAGTGTATACATGTTAGAAATTCCAGCACATTCCAAGAATGCACTATTTGGAACTTTGTCCCGCCAGGTGATGCCAACAATACGTCGGAGACAGCGCATATGAAAGGTGTTCAACTTTCTCACCTGCCATGCTTAAAGACATTTATTAAATGTCTATGCCACCCATTTGTCATCAATCTGTACATCTCCACCCCAGGCCACCCCAATGATGCCCTTGAAGTGATGTCCCAGTGCCTGGAGGCTGTGCGGATCTGGATGGGGAGGAACAGGCTCAAGCTCAACCCTTCCAAGACTGAGTGGCTGTGGCTCCCGGCATCCCGATATAGTCAGTTGACTCCATCACTGACTATTGGGGGCGAGTCTTTGGCCCCCACAGAAAGGGCTCGCAATCTGGGAGTCCTCCTGGATATGCAGCTGTCCTTGGAGGAACATCTGACAGCTGTAACCAGGGGGACCTTTTGTCAGGTTCACCTGATTCACCAGTTGCGGCCCTTTCTTGATCGGGATTCCCTGTGCACAGTCACTCATGCCCTCGTCACCTCTCACCTTGACTACTGCAACACTCTCTACATGGGGCTCCCCTTGAAGAGCACCCAGAGGCTCCAACTGGTCCAGAATGCAGCAGCGCGGGTAGTGACGGGAGCAACATGGCGCTCCCATGTAACACCGCTCCTGCACGAGCTGCACTGGCTCCAGTGGTCTTCCGGGTGCGCTTCAAGGTGTTGGTTATCACCTTTAAAGTGCTCCATGGCATCGGGCCTAGTTATCTTCGAGACCGCCTGCTGCTACCGACGACATCCCATCGTCCCGGGCGCTCCCACAGAGAGGGCCTCCTCAGGGTGCCATCAGCCAATCAATGTAGGCTGGTGACCCCCAGGGGGAGGGCCTTCTCTTTGGGGGCACCTACCCTCTGGAATCAGTTGCCCCCAGAGATAAGGAGAATCCAAGACCTTAGTGCCTTCCGCCGTGCCCTTAAAACCCACTTTTTCCAGCAAGCCGGGCTGGCTTAAGAAGAAATTTTAAATGTTTTAATTGGTTTGTATTTTTAATTTTGGGCCAAATTTATATATATTTTAATTGTTTTTTTTAATATTTGTATTCCATGTTTTTTAATTCTGGCTGTACACCGCCCTGAGTCCTCAGGGAGAAGGGCGGTATATAAATTTAAAAATAAATAAATAAATAAAATAAAATCTGGTTTGTCTCCAGTGAACATAGAATGAAGGATTGCCTATTGATCTATTGTGGAATCAGTTCTGGACAGCTAGCAACCAATACAAACAATGAACAAAATAGCAACCAAATAAACAATAGTATGTGAAATGCATAAAACTGTTCCGATTAAAAAAAAACCCAATCTAATAATCGAAAGGTGTCAAACTGGCAGCCCATGGACGTGATGCATCATGCACAGGCCACACCTACCCCATTTCCGCAAATGGGAAAAACGTCACGAAACATCACATGACGGCAACATGATGTAACGAGTTTGACACCCGTGTAAAAAGGACCCCACAGGATCTAGCTATTTCTACTTTGCCTGTGATATCTTCCATTCTCATTTTGTGACTCAGATTGTTTAGCACAATTCACCTGATGGCTTGGTTAGCATTCAGCTGTTTTGGGTTTCTTCAATGTCACGAGATCAAGGGAAAATCTTCTGTCTTCTTTAAAGGTGGATGCTTTTAACAGTAACAGAGTTGGAAGGGACCTTGGAGGTCATTTAGTCCAACCCCCTGCTCACACAGGAGACCTGTACTAGGGATTTGAACTGCCGAACTGGCGACCTTTCTGATTGACAAGCTCAGTGTCTTAGCTCACTTAAGCCACTGAGCCACCTAGTCAGGCTTTCTTTCTCTTACCTTATGGGAAGCCACCTCCCTCCTAGAAGAATGAAATATTTTGAGGAATATTTAAAAAAAGGCAGGATAAAATATTTCCCCTAAAAGAGAAATGAAAAAATCTTAAGGGAGACAAAAACTCAGAGCCCTAGCCCACTGCCCCCAAGCAGATACGGAGCTGGGACAGCTTTTAGAAATGCAGATTTGGTAATCCATTACTCCCTCCAGCAAAGTCTGAAGGCAGATTAGCTCTCACCCAAGATCCAACACAGGGCAAAGCCATTAAGCCATAATAGGAATTATTGCACCACCCTCTAAACTTCAACCAAATTTATCTCAGACAAACACCAGCTATGACCCCTACATAATCCCTACATGACACCATGGGTGTCTGAAAACAGCCAATAGAACATGTGTTCTTGCACAGGAACAGGAAGCTCAAGTGCAAAGCCCAAGAGAAGGTATAAAAAACCACTCACTCTCAACTCCATGTGGTCAGCTGCCCAGAATCACACATGCTTGGTGGTTCTTCTTCATCCTTAAAGAGACCTCTTTCCAATCAGCCTCCAGCCTCCATTTTCATCTTCTTACTAACAGTTCTTGGAGATAATGCTTCTGTCTCTATAGCATTTACATTAATTTGCTGTTTTTCTATACAAGAGATGTCACTGAAATATCTTTACAGAATCAGCATATTGCCCCCAACAATCTGGGTACTCATTTTACCCACCTCGGAAGGATGGAAGGCTGAGTCAACCTTGAGCCTGGTGAGATTCGATCTGCCAAATTGCAGTCAGCTGGTAGTCAGCAGAAGTAGCCTGCAGTACTGCACTCTAACCACTGTGCCATTGAGGCTCTTAATACTGAAGTTCTCCCCTTTCAGTAGGATTGAGCCAAGGGACGTAAACATTGGTCATTGAAAACTTCATCTCCCAGAAGGCCTATTAATATTTTGGATTGTCTTCCTGCCTTGATGTAGTAACCTTTACCTGGTTACTCCCCAGTAACCTTCGAGCTTAGTAAGACTGGAATTACTCAGATGCCTTGCTTAACAGGGAAATTACAGTGAAAAAACCCAAATCTAGTGGTCTCATTTTATGCACCTGTAGTTTTTTATATGTGACTTAAAAAAAATCATCCCCACAATGTCCATATTGCAAGACTTATATTTACTCAAATGTAACCCTTCCCATTTTCCATTTGGATTGAACCAAGGGAGATAAACACTGGTCAGGAAGGAACAAATCTCCTAACTCCAACGTAGTTAGGAGAATAAATTATCTAGTGCATTGACTCATTTTTGAGGAGAGGTCAAAATACTCAAGTCTTTATTTTATTTACTCTAAAATAAATCTTCCCTTTCTCCTCTGTACCCCCAGGAAAACAAGAACAAAGCATATCTGGCATGAGTTTTCTTAGGACTCAGAAATTATTTGGAAATCTCACAGGTAAAGTCTGTCCAAAACATCACTTTTATCCCAATCAATATGTAAAACCAGGGCCCAAGTTTCCCTTTAAAGGAACTGCATGAATTTCCTTTTCAGACTACACCCACCCACACAAAGGTTGGGCACTTTCCTCAATCCTTTTCTATCAAGTCCCTCCATTCATTAAAGAGAGGAAAAATGATTCTGTGGCTGAATTTTATGCCCTGGCTAGTGCTCCTCCAGGGTAATGTTCCCTCTTTAAAGAATTCCTTTCTATTTTCTCTTTTTTGTACATAGAAGCTTACATTGAAACCCTTTTTGCTTTTAGGAGCTCAATCTCAAGTCCAGTTGGTGGAGTCTGGAGGGGATGAGAGAAGTCCTGGGGAGTCCCTCCGTCTCTCCTGCCAAGCCTCTGGATTCACCATTAGCGGCTCCTGGATGCACTGGGTGAGACAGGCTCCAGGGAAAGACCTGGAATGGGTGGCCGCAATGGATATAGGCTAATCTCCTTCCACTTACTACTCAGATAAAGTCAAGGGCCGCTTCACCATCTCCAGGGACATTGCCAAAAGCCAGCTGTATCTGCAAATGAACAGCCTCAAAGCTGAAGACACAGCAGTCTATTACTGTGTGAAATACACAGTGAAAGGAACTGGATCTAAAACCATACCAAAAAAACAAAACAAACCCCAACCCCATTGTTTTTCAAAGCAGCTCTGAAACTTCACCATCTCCAGGGACAATGCCAAAAGCCAGCTGTATCTGCAAATGAACCTCAAAACTGAAGACACAGTAGTGCAGGGGTGAAATGCTCCCAGATCGGACCGGATCGCCTGATCTGGTAGCGATTTTTCCCTGTGAAAAAAACAAAGAAAGTCCAGTTACCTTTTAGTAACAGAGCTGGAAGGTGTTAGATCCGGCACAGGGAAAAGAAGACTGGACCAGCTCGATACATTAAGCAACTTTTATTCATTACAAGTAACGAGTCAAGACTGCTGGCGCGCTGCCGGAGCTCTCCTTATATTCGCTCCTGGCAGACGCACCACCCCTTGACAGGGATTCAAATCTCCCGCCCGATGGCTGGCAGCCAATCAGGGCGGATGTCCTTATAAGGACATAACACTCCTCCCCCCTTAGTCCGAAATGTCAATCTCATTCACAAACGTTACGTAGTCGCGCAGGTACGCCGGACGCCTCGGCACCCTAGCTGACCTGCGCAGTCTCACTTCTCCTCCGTCTCCGGCCTGGAAGGACGGGGCTCTTTCGTCTCCTGGTTCCCTCTCCGGAACCGGGCTCGGTTCGGCTGTCGAGTGAGCGGGGCCACCCCCAGCGCCTCCGGCCGGACCGCAGACCTTGGATCGCTGGTCCTGGTGGTCTTCCTCCTGTCCTGTGGATCTCTCGCCTCGCCTCGGCTGCTCGGTTCCGACCCGGGAAGAGCGTCTGAGTCTCGGTAAGTCCATTGCTTGCTCCTCCCTGATCTCCCGGGCGCTGTGGTTCGGTCTCGGTCCGGCTTGCTGCCGCTCGGGTGGCGGTTCCGCTCGGTTCGGGTGGTGCTGGCTCTCGTTGTTGTTGTTGTGCCGTCCGACCTCGCAGGGGTGGCGTTGGTCCCCTCGGTTGGGCTGGCGTCGATCTACCTTGTCTGGCTGGCGGTGGTCGACCTGGTCGGGGTGTTGTTGCGGTGCTACCTCCGCGGGGCGGCGGAGGTCTCCCCTGCCGGGGTGGTGCAGGTCTCCCTGGCCGGGTTGTTGTCGGCTTCCCCTTCCCCCTAGTCCCTGGTCTACCGTTGGTTGGTGCCTGGGGCCATCCTGGTCGGGGTGTCGTTTCTTGGCTGTCTCTTGTGATGGGCGGGGGTCCCCCACGTCGGTGAGTTGTGTGCCACTCTCGCCCGTGGGTCGTGGGTTGCCCGTCTTGGCTGGGTCCCGGTCTACTCGCCTTGAATTGCAGTCTCCCTGGCTGGGCTGGCATGGGCTGCTGTAACTGGTGGGGTGTGTTGCTCCTCCTCTGGGCAGGTCCCGGTCTACCTGCGGGCTGGGTTGGTGGTCCCTGGCCTTGCTGTGCCCGGTGCCCCCCTGGCTGGGTTGGTGTTGCCATCCTCCGTGCGGTTGGCCCCGGTCTACCTCGCTGGGCTGCCGGCGTGACAGCATCTGGTAGTGGGCTGGGCCGACCTTGACGGGGTGGTGCTGCTCTGCCTCGCAGGGGTGTGGTAGGCCTACCTCGTCGGGTTGTTGTAGGCCTACCGGGTCTGGGTGTGGTAGGCCTACCTCGCCGGGGTGTTGGAGGTCTACCTCGTCGGGGTGTTGTAGGCCTCCCTCGTCAGGCTGGTTTTCATGCGCTCCCCCCCACCTTTTTCGGAGTTGGTCGATGTGACGTCTCGCGAACTGTCCATCTTCCAACTCGACGATGTAGGATTTGGGGCCGGTTGTGCTGGCAATCTTCCCCTTCAGCCACTTAGGAGAGCCGCTGAAATTCAGCGCGAAAATTGAATCTCCGTTGCTGAAGGCGCGAAGCGGGCAGCTGGCGGTTGCGGTCACTTCCGGGCTGTATTGGGGGTGCAGCCGGTCCAAGGGTGACCTCAACCTTCTGCCCATCAACAGTTCGGCCGGGCTCTTGTGGGTGGTGGCGTGTGGCATGATGTGCTGGGTGAGGAGGAAATTGTCTATGCGCTCTTGCCAGTCCCCCGGGCCCATCTTGGTGAGGGTCTCTTTGGTCAGTCGGACCATGCGTTCCGCTTGTCCGTTTCCGGCCGGCCTGTAAGGGGCGGACAGGGCGTGGCGGATGCCCAGTCCCGCCAGGAAGGACTCCATGGCCAAGGATGTGAGCTGGGGGCCGTTGTCTGAGACCAGCACATCCGGTAGACCATGAGTGGCGAAGAGGCGGCGCAGGGCTCGGATCGTCGCGTCCGTTGTGGTAGATGCCATGGGCACCACCTCGAGCCATTTGGAGAAGGCATCTACCACGATGAGGAGGTGTCGCCCCTGCATCGGACCCGCGAAGTCAATGTGGACCCTCGACCAGGGGTTGCTGGGGGTCTCCCACTTCGCGACCTCGGATTGCGGCGGCGCTGGGTGAACTTCTTGGCACGGGTCACATCTGGAGACCCATTGTTCAATGTCTTTGTCCATGGAGGGCCACCAGACATAACTCCGTGCCAGTGCCTTCATGCGGACGATGCCCGGGTGCCTCTTGTGCAGGGTCTCCAACGTTCGCCGTTGCAGGGTGCTTGGAATCAGCACCCTGTCTCCCCATAGCAGACAGCCCTTCATGGTGGACAGCTCCTCCTGTTTCCTGGCGAACGGGCTGAACCTTTCCTCTGGCTTTCCCGATGGCCACCCTCTGAGGATCCAGGATTTCACTTTGCAGAGTGTGGGGTCCTTTTGGGTGTGGACGGCCACATCTGCGGATGACACCGGGCAGCTGGCGTCGTCATCAATGTGCAGTAGGTGGAGCGTGGGGGCTGGGTCTTCGACCGGCTTCTTCGACGGGCATCTGCTGAGGGCGTCAGCGTTTCCTATGGCTGTGCCTGGCTGGTGCACGAGCCTATAGGAGTAGCCAGCTAGGAAGATTGCCCATCTCGTCATTCTTGGGGACATGAAGGTCGGGGTTGGTTGGTCGCCTGCGAGGAGTCCCAGGAGAGGCTTGTGGTCTGTGACTATGGTGAAGCTTCTTCCGTAGAGGTATTCGTGGAAGCGCTTCACTCCAGCCACGATGGCCAGGGCTTCTTTGTCCAGCTGGCTATAGTTCCGTTCTGCGCCGGACATAGTCTTTGAGAAGTACGCGATTGGGGCTTCCGAGCCATTGGGCAGTTCGTGGCTGAGGACTGCCCCCACCCCGTAAGGCGACGCGTCGCAGGTCAGTCTGATGGGGAGCGTCTCGCTGTACTGAATGAGGACGCTTTTGGACGTCAATAGTCCTTTGATGGCCCGGAATGCCGCTTCCTCTTCCTGGCCCCACTTCCAGGAAGCCGATTTTCCCAGCAGGCGGTGGAGTGGCTCAGCAACTGTGGCTTTCTGTTTTAAGAAAATGGCGTAAAAGTTGAGCAACCCAAGGAAAGCCTGAAGCTCCGTTTTGTTTTTTGGGCTTGGAGCTTCATGGATTGCTTCCACTTTTGATTTGGTGGGGTGGATGCCTGTGCTATCAATGAGGAAGCCCAGGAACTCGACTTCCTGTACCCCTATGATGCACTTGTCCCGCCTGACCCTCAAACCCTTGGCCTTGAACCGCTGCAGGACAAGCCTGAGCCTTTCAAGGAGTTGGGTTCTTGAGTCACCGGAGATGAGCACATCATCGAAGTAAGGCACCACCCCTGGAACGCCTTGGAGAAGGCGTTCCATCATGGATTGGAAGATGCCAGGGGCAGCGCTGACTCCAAATTGGAGGCGGTTGCATTTAAATGCCCCCCTGTGTGTGACAATTGTTTGAGCCTCCGCCGTTTTGTCATCCACTGGCAGTTGCTGGTAAGCCTGGGCCAGGTCCAGTTTCGCGAAAATTGCTCCAGATCCCAGGGAATGCAGCAGATGTTGCACCACTGGGACTGGGTATGCGCTCTGTGCCAACGCCTTGTTGATGGTACAACGGTAGTCAGCACAGATGCGCACAGACCCATCATGCTTCAGTGGGGTCACAATGGGGGTCTCCCATGAGGCATGATCGATCGGTTCCAGGACGCCCTGGGCGATCAGCTTATCCAGCTGCTCGTCTACTTTGGGCCGCAGGGCAAATGGAACTCGGCGGGGCTTGAGCCTGATTGGGGTGATTCCCTTGTCCAGATTAAAGGAGATTGGCCTCCCCACAAATTTCCCCAGCTTACCATCGAAGACTTCTTTGAACTCTTCGATGATGGAGTCGAGTTCGTCCCTGCGGATCTCGTGGATGCCCTGAAGTGAAAGTCCCAGCGGCTTGAACCACTCCACACCCAACAGGTTCGGTCGGCTGTGCTGTACAATGGTGATGGGTAGCTTTCCGTTGAAGTCGTTGTACTTCACCTGGATTGTGGCTCTGCCTAGGATTTCAATGGGATTCCCGTTGAAGTCCACGAGTCTCGCCTTCGGGTTTTTCAGCTGGGTCCTTTTGTATGCCGGGTTCAGCTGCTGTAGGTGCTGCCAGTCCATGATGGAGTAGGCGGATCCGGAGTCTACCTCCATCTTGCATGGTGACCCCTCTGCTAGCAGCGTCACATGGAACTTCGTGGTTCCCTCGTCGCTTGTGTGAGCAATGGTGGTGGTCTGGTGCACCGTTCTGTTGCGGGGATATTCCTCCTCCCCGCGCCGGGACTGGTTTGAGGACCGTTTGGATGTCCTCTGGTTATCTTTGCGATTTTCCCTGAATCGTGGTCTGGGTGGTTCCAGGGCTGGATCTGTGGCTCTGCAGGCCTCTGCGATGTGGCCCCTCTTCAGGCATCGGCGGCAGGTCGCGTCCCTCCATCTGCAGTTTGCCCTGGGGTGGTCGCCTCTGCAGCTGCCGCATCGCTCTCCCCCGGTCGCCATGCTGTGGGTTTTCCCGCCTGGGGGGGCGGGACACCTTGTGGACGGCCATTTCCTCATCAGACTCGGATTGAGTGGTTGCCTCGTCTGATGAGGTCGGGCCCGACTTGTGGATCTTATGGATCCCCCTTGCTTTTACCATCGCGGCGGCTGCTTGCTCAGACGTTTCAGCCGCCGTTGCCTCGTCGAGGACATCTTTGAGCGGAATCCTCTTCCGGCTGAGGAACTTCTTCTGCAGCCCCACATCTCGCATTCCAAACACAATGCGGTCCCGGATGGCATTGTCCACATTGTCGAACTCGCAGTTGGCAGCGATTTGGCGAAGCGCTGCCACGAATTCCTTGATGGATTCACCTTCCCGCTGGTTTCTTTGCTGGAAGGTGAACCTGTTTGCGATGGGGGTGCCTGTAGGTGCATAGTGCTCCTGTAGGACTTCTTGCAGGTCGTTCCAGGACATCTCCTCGATGTCCCTGGGTGCCACGAGGTCAATCGCCATCTCCAGAACGTCCGATCCGCAATGAGCCAGGAAGAGGGCTCTTTTTCTCTCCTCATCGAGGTTCTGGTATCCATTGCCTCGCAGGAACTGCCGGAATCGGACCATGTATGACCTCCACTTCTCCCGGGATGGGTCGAACGGGTTCAGCGCGGTCATCAGGGCTTGCGGGGTAGCCATTCTGGAAGATCGCTGTGGTGTGGTGATTTTGTTCGGTGGGCGATCGTGCCAAGAGTCTTGTGAAGGTTCTTCTCTCTAGTCCTTCGTCGCCAGTGTTAGATCCGGCGCAGGGAAAAGAAGACTGGACCAGCTCGATACATTAAGCAACTTTTATTCATTACAAGTAACGAGTCAAGACTGCTGGCGCGCTGCCGGAGCTCTCCTTATATTCGCTCCCGGCAGACGCACCGCCCCTTGACAGGGATTCAAATCTCCCGCCCGATGGCTGGCAGCCAATCAGGGTGGATGTCCTTATAAGGACATAACAGAAGGGACATTGGAGGTTATCTAGTCCAACCCCCTGCTCACACAGGAGACCTGTACTAGGGATTTGAACCAACATTTCTGATCGACAAGCTCAGTGTCTTAGCCAGTGAGCCACCTGTGGTTTGGCGACCTGGTAGCAATCGCCGCCCTGGTGTCATTACTTCCTGGTTTTAACCAGGAAGTATTTTTCTTTACCTTCTGAGCATGTGCAGAAGGTTTTGTTGATGCACAGAAGGTATGCGCATGCACGTGACCCGCAGCCCATGGCTTTCCGAACCGGAAAGGAAGGTAAGTAGATTTCACCCCTGCAGTAGTGCATTACTGTAGAACATACACGGTGAAAGGAAGTAGATCTAAAACCATACAAGAAAATATCCCACGGTTTTTCAAAGCAGCTCTGAAACTTGACCCTGCCTCAGATCCTAGATCGGTCAATGAGTATTGATCACCGTCTATTGAGACCTTTAGGAATCTCTTGTTTTATTTATTTATTTATTTATTTATTTATTTATTTATTTATTTATTTATTTAATAAAATTTGTATGCTGCCCTATCTCCGAGGACTCAGGGTGGCTCACAACGACAATCGACCAAGCGACTGTTAAAAACAACAAATATACACAAAAGAATAAAAAAGTTTTTTTAAAAAAAATTTAAAATATACTACCCCATCAGTCCAGGCTGGGGGACATAAATAGCCAGGTTTTCAATTCACGGCGGAAGGTACGAAGGTCAGGGGCCAACCGGAGCCCCAAGGGAAGTTGATTCCAGAGGGTGGGGGGCGCTCACAGAGAAGGCTCTATCCCTGGGGGTCGCCAGCCGACATTGTCTAGCCGATGGCACCCTGAGTAGGCCCTCTCTGTGAGAGCGCACCGGGCGATGGGAAGTTGACGCTGGTTGCAGGTGGTCCGACAAATAGCCTGGGCCAAAGCCATGAAGGGGTTTATAGGTTAACACCAGCACCTTGAATCTCAAGGTGTCCGAGAAGTGAGTTTGCTGGAACAAAATGAAAAACGATGAAAATGGCTGGAAAATTCCAATTTTTTACCTCCCCTGTTTACAAGATGATTTGGCTTTGGAAAATCCTAGAATGGGAAATTAGTCCTTTAGTATCACAGCAGAAGGATAGAAATGAAATTTAAGGATAATCCTTCTAAATATCACATATTTCGGAAATATCTCCTCTGAATGAATTACCTGGGAGAAGTAGAAAGGTGCCTCCACTCCTCACATTTGTCACTAGGGGGCAATGTTGTCTTATGACATGGCTAGGGATGGGGTAGGGCAGGGGTCTGCAACCTTAAACACTCAAAGAGCCATTTGGACCCATTTCCCACAGAAAAGAAAACACTGGGAGCCACAAAACCCTTCCTGTGGCTGTGTATTTCTTGAGCGGCCACAAAACTAGCATATAACATTCTGTTTTCTTCTAAAACATTTCTTTTCTTGGATCTTGGGGTTGAAAAGCTCAATATATTGTGTGCCGGGAGGTGTCACTCATTGGTGCTTGTGACGCATATTTTGAGTGACAGGGAGCCGCAGAAGAGGGCTGAAAGAGCCACATGCAGCTCCAGAGCTGCAGGTTGCTGATCCCTGGGGTACGGAATAGAACAAGTATCATTAGGAATGTAACAACTACTTCAAAATGGCACAACATAGGAGGACCAACCCATCAGGACAAGATTCAGTAGTCCATTTGACAAGGATCACTCTTTTGAAGACAGAAAAGCCCATATTCTGAACAGAGAGAATAGCTGGTCAAAGAGGCCATCTACATTTAGACTGAACAGCTCTCTCTCAATGGGGGTGGGGGGTGGGGTAGGCAGGGATGGAATACCACACCACCTATCTCCTGTTTACAAAGTAGTCCTGGTAGCAGTTCCAAGAAGGTTCCACACACATTTGCATGATTCAGGTGAGCCTGAGGCACAGATCAACCTCCAAGTAGCCTCAGCAACTCTCAGAAAGACTGCTAACGACCAGATGACTGCAAGGAGGATAAATCCTTCCGTCTTCCACCATTCGATCAGAACTGAAGAAGATTCTTGGATGAGAATCCCAAAGCTGTTTTTTTCAAGACTTTCTGTTTTTCTTTGAAGATGTTTCGCTTCTCATCCAAGAAGCTTCTTCAGCTCTGACTGGATGGTGGGGAACGGAAGGATTTATCCTCCTTGCAGACAGCTGGACATTTGCATCCTTTCAGCGAGTCGTTAAGGTCACCTGAGAGGTTTACCTGTGTCATCAGGGTCCCATGAGTGGTGCAAATGGGTGTGGACCCTGATGGGTTTATTACTGTGTGAGATACACAGTGAGGGGAAGTGATCCTGAAGCCATGCAAGGACCTTCCTTTCTTCAGAGCAGCTCTTCAACTTGTTTCAGCCCAAAACAATGGATTAGTGAAGGGGGATTCATCAAAATCCAGAGAGAATTTTGGACTCTTTTGTTCTGGGAAACCAATTAGAGAGTTTGTTGGAAGAAGGGCCTGGTGGCTCAGCAGACTAAAAAAGCTTTGTGATTAACACCAGCTGTCTGCAATTACTGTAAGTTTGATTCTCACCAGGCTCAAGGTTGACTCAGCCTTCCATCCTTTCTAAGGTAGGTTAAATGAGGACCCAGTTTGTGGGGGCAATAAGCTTACTTTGTATAAATATACAAAAGTATGAAGGCTATTGTTTAACACATTGTAAGCCACCCTGAGTCTCCGGAGAAGGGCGGCATATAAATCAAATTTTTTTAAAAAATCAAAAGTTGAAAAAAAAAATAGCTTGAAAACTCCAGTTTTACCTTCGCTGTTTATAATGTGGAAATGATTTGAGAAACAAACTGGAATTAAAAATAGTCCGTTACTATCATTGTAGAAAACAGGAAATGAAACTAGGATAATCTTTCTAAATATTCAAACTGCCATACAGATCTTGAGGAAATATTAAGGAAGATGTTTCCCCCTCCTCACTTTGGACACCAGGGGGCAGTGTTGTCACACGAAACTCCATGGCCTCTGCACTGGGTGGGGGATGGGATAGGGAATAAAACAAGGGTCATTAGATATGGTCTCATTTCTCAGACATGTTTTTTTTTAAAATTATTGTTTCCATAATAGTTCACTGAAAGCTCTGAGGAAAATTTCACATCTAAGGAGCTTATAATCCTTATCATGAAGCTCAGAATTTTTGATAAAATGATGTGTCATCAGTGTTTGTATCCAGGGAAGTTTCTAGAATGTATAAAGGTCAAATTGTCTTAAAAATTGGTGCCTCATCATTTGGTTTGCACTCACTTATTGTTGGTTTATTCAAGGGGACATACTAAGGAGAGAAATTATGGGGGGGGGGGGGAAACCTCCCGAATTCAGATGTGATCTTCTTTTCATGTTCTATCTCAAAATATCTCCTTCCAAAGCTTTTATTACATGTTCCTCAACTGTCCTTTTGAATCATTTCTGAGAATTTCTGAAATTTAGCAAGTCTTTGTTTTCCTTAATTACTCTAATATAAACCTGCTGTTTCACCAATGACTTTATAGTTTAAAGAAAAAGAGTCTGCCTTCACTTTTATTAAGAGCGTCATGTTATGCGAAAATCTGCCATAAAAACTATGAGATCAATGCACTGAAGGACCCTTTTATCCCAAGCGATATGCAAATCAAGGCACTATTTCCCCTTTAAAGGAGCGCTTTTCAGGCTACACCCAACAACACAAAGTTTGTGCACTTTCTGAATTCTTTCCTCTCAATTCCCTCCATTCATTACAGGGAGCGAAAATGATGCCATGGCTGAATTTGGTGTCCTTGTTAGTGTTCATTCAAGGTATTTTTTTTCCCTCTTTAAAGAATTTCCATTCATAATCTCTTTTTCTATATTGAAGATTTCATTGAAACACTTTCCCTTTTACGAGTTCAATCTCAAGTACAGCTGGTGGAGTCTGGAGGGGATGTGAGAAGACCTGAGGGTCCCTCCGTCTCACCTGCCAAGCCTCTGGATTCACCTTCAGCAGCTATCCGATGAGCTGGGTGAGACAGGCTCCAGGGAAAGGCCTGGAATGGGTGGCCTACATAGGTACATCTCACTCCAATTTACTACCCAGACAAAGTCAAGGGACGTTTCACCATCTCCAGGGACGATGCCAAAAGCCAGCTGTATCTGCAAATGAACAGTCTCAAACTGGAGGACACAGCTCTCTATTACTGTGCCAGAAACACAGTGAGAGGAAGTGAATCTGATGCCAAGCAAAAACCTTCTCTTCCTCTGAGCAGCTGTCCAAATTGAATCAGAAAGTTGAATCTGTGTATTTAAAATGAGAAGAGGAACATAAATCTCCATATACAATATGGAACCTCAGATCTGATCTTCTAAGAAGCTGAAGGAGATGATTGACATTTTGATAGGTGAGAAGAAGGAACTCTCCAGGCTGTGGAACAAACTGGGTAGTTTGTAAAAAAATGGCTTCTTATCATTAATCTGTTTTAGATTAACTGGAATTCAAAGTATGATCATGGTAGAAAATAGGAAATGAAACTAGGATAATCCTTCTAAATATCCAAACTGTCATATAGATATTGAAGAAATATTAAGGAAGATGTCTCCCCTCCTCACTTTGGACACGAAAGGACAGCCTTGCCACATGAAACTCCGTGGCCTCTGTAGTGGATGGGGGATGGGATAGGGAATAAAAGAAGTGTGATTAGATATGGTCTCATTTCTGGGATATGATTTTTTAATCATTGTTTCCATAATAGTTCACTGAAAGCTCTGAGGTAAATTTCACATTATAATCCTTACCTGAAAGCTCGGAATTTTAGATAAAATGATGGATCATCAGTGTTTGTATCCAGAGAAAGTTTCTAGAATGTACAAAGGTGCTACAGACCTTTGCTGAAAATGAAAAGTACATGAAGGGACATTATATCATGTGCACACACACACACCAGTGGTGGGTTCCTCCCGGTTCCACCCCATTCCGCAGAGCCGGTAGAGGTGATGATATGATGTCACCGAACCGGTTCTGCCCCCCGCCTCCCCTGCCCCACCCCATGTTATTTTTACCTTTTATTTGGCCCCACCCCCAATCTATTTCTGCCTCCTGAGTTCCATCGGATCAGCTAGAAGGAAAAATACTGTTTAAACTCTTGCCGCGGGGCTTCAAAGGGCCGCCCTACAGCAGATCAGTGTTAAAAGGCAATGTAGTGGTAGACTGGAGCCTCCAAAAACAAATGAGTAGACCGGTGCCTGCAGAAATAAATGGGTAGACCAGTGCCTCCAAAAACAAATGAGTAGACCTGTGCCTGCAAAAACAAATGGGTAAACCAGTGCCTCCAAAAAGAAATGAGTAGACCGGTGCCTGCAAAAACAAATGGGTAAACCAGTGCCTCCAAAATAAATGAGTAGACCGGTACAGCTCTGCAAGCAGTTAGAAGCCTGGTAGATCTAAATCCTGCTAAATCCTAAAGAATTGTTATATGACCATCAAGCCACGCCCACAAAATAAGCCACGCCTACAGAACCGGTAGTAAAAAAAAATTAGAACCCACCCCTGGCACACACGCACACATAAACACACAGAGAGAGTGTATATTCCTCATTGTGAAGCCATGTGTGAGTTGACAATTAAATATGAGCCAACAGTGTGTGGTGGCAGCCAAAAAAGCCAATTGCAATCCTTAATTGCATTAACAGAGGGATTCAATCAAGATCACATGAGGTACTAATATCACTTTATAAAGCCGTAGTAAGACCACCCCTAGAGTACTGAATCTAGTTTTGGTCACCACACTGTAAAAAAGATGTTTGGACTCTAGAAAGTGTGCAGAGAAGAGCAACACAGACGCTTAGGGGATTGGAGACTAAAATATGTTGCAGGAACTGGGCATGGCTGGCCTAGTGAACAGAAGGACCAGGGGAGAACTGATTGCAGTCTTCCAGCAATTGGGGGGCTGTAACAGAGATCAGGTGGTCAACCTATTTTCCAAAGCACCTGAAGGGCAGACCAGGAATTATGGATGGAAACTGAACAAGGAGAGATTCAACTGAGAAATAAGGAGAAATTTTCTGACAGTGAGAACAATCAACCAATGGAACTGCTGCAGAAGTTGTGGGAGCTTTATCACTGGAGGCTTTCAAGAAGAGACTGGACTGCCATATGTCAGAAATGGTGTAGGGTCTCCTGCTTGGGTGGGGGGTTGAAGTAGATGACTTAAAAGGTTCCTTCCTATTCTGTTAATCCGTTAGTGCTTAACGTAGTGGAAACTGAATTATTTGTAAAATACAGTCTGGGACAGGTAAAAACTTAACACTTCAAGTCCTAACCAAGGAGTTAAGAGCAGTTAAGACAGCATTTGAATATACAGGGACTTCCTAATAGGGTGGTTTTTTTTGCAAAGTCAGAATATTCAGGTCTTAATAAGTTCAAAAATTCCATGTATCTGGTTTTTGCTCTAAGGGCTCCTATTACTATTGGTTCAGCCATTGATTTCTTCCTTCATAATCGCTTAACTTCAATTTGCAAATCAATATTTTTTTTCCAGCTGTTTCTCCTCAATTTGTGCATCACCTCATATTGCAATCCCCAACCTCCCTGCACACACAATATGATATCAGGTATCTTGTGGCCCAGATGTCTATCTGTCCTACCATTATTTCAATTTTTATCCATCTCGGTGAATCAACTCTCGGCAACGAATAACTGATCAATTGCAATCCCAAACAAGCAATAGATAAAATGAAAACTACTGCCAAGTTAAAACCCAATCTAATGAGCAAAGAACATCCCACACGCTTTATCAATTTCTTCTCTGTGTGTCTTTTCTTTGATTGAACTCAATTTGTCTTACAAATTGGTGCCTCATCATTTGGTTTGCACTCACTTATTATGGGTTTATTGAAGGGGACATACTAAGGAGAGAAAATGTGGGGATAAAAAACCCCTCCCGAATTCAGATGTGATCTTCTTTTCATGTTCTATCTCAAAATATCTCCTTCCAAAACTTTTGAGAATTTCTGAAATTTAACAAGTCTTCGTTTTCCTTAATTACTCTAATATAAACTCACTGTTTGGCCAATGACTTTTATAGTTTAAAGAAAAGGAGTCTGCGTTCACTTTTATTAAGAGTGGCATGTTCTGTGAAAATAAGACATATAAAAGGTGAACTGTTAGATTAATGCACTGAGGGGCCCTTATATCCCAAGCGATATGTAAATGAAAATGCAAAATTTCCCCTTTAAAGGAACCACTTGGTTTCCCATTTCAGGCTACACCCACCCACACAAATTTTCTGCACTTTCCTGAATTCTTTCCTCTCAATTCTCTCCATTCCTTACAGGAAGCAAAAATGATCCCATGGCTGAATTTGGTGCCCTTGTTAGTGTTCCTTCAAGGTATTTTTTCCCTCTTTAAAGAATTTCCGTCCATATTCTCTCTTTGTATATAGAAGGTTTCATTGAAACACTTTTGTTTTTAGGAGTCCAATCTCAAGTACAATTGGTGGAGTCTGGAGGGGATGTGAGAGGACCTGGGGAGTCCCTCCGTCTCTCCTGCCAAGCCTCTGGATTCACCTTCAGCAGCTATGCAATGCACTGGGTGAGACAGGCTCCAGGGAAAGGCCTGGAATGGGTGACAGCCATAGGTACAGGATCATCTCCTTCCACTTACTACTCTGACAAAGTCAAGGGACGCTTCACCATCTCCAGGGACGATGCCAAAAGCCAGCTGTATCTGCAAATGAACAGCCTCAAACTGGAGGATACTGCAATTTATTACTGTGCAAGAGACACAGTGAGAGGAAGTGAATCTGATGCCAAGCAAAAACCTTCTCTTCCTCTGAGCAGCTTTCCAAATTGAATCAGAAAGTTGATTTGGCATATTGAAAGAGAAAAGCGGAATATAAATCTTTTTTTCCAAGTTTTTTTATTTTGTTTTATAAAATATCCATATCAATGTGTGAACAGTGTGGCATCTGGGTATCATACATTTTAGTAGAAATACAAATAGTGCTATTAATCATATTTGTTACATTCCTCAAGTTTATGTAGTTCTAGTATTGATACACATATTTGTATTAAATTATAGACTTCCATTATTTAATTATTCAGTGTTTTAATACGTTATTTCTATGCCAATCACAATATTGTTTAAGCATACATAATAGCATCATTCAGTTTCTCATCTTCCCTCTTATTATTACTTTTATCTTATTGTTTAAAAATGTGTATACTAATATTCCCCATTTCTCTTACTTCTATCCCTGTTATAACTTTTAATCATGGCACCATTATATTTAAGAACAAGTCCTTTCTATCTTCCATCTCTCACCCGCTTTATAGCTTTAATTGTTCAGTTTTAAACTTTCCTCCAATATTCCTCTTTTGGATCTTTATCCCTATCTACATATACGTTTTAGTACAAATAAAAATAGTGTTATTAATCATATTTATTACATTCCTCAGGCTTATGTAGTTCTACTGTTAATATACATCTTTGTATTAAAGTATAAACTTTCATCATTTAATTGTTCAATGTTTCAATACTTTATTCCAATATCAATCACAATATTATTTAAAAATACATAATAATACCATCATTCAGTTTCTAATCTTCCCTCTTATTATTACTTTCATTTTATTGTTTAAAAATGTGTATACTAATATTCCCCATCCCTCTTATTTCTATCCCTATTTTAACTTTTAATCATGCCACCATTACATTTAAGAACAAGTCCTTTCTATCCATCAACTCTTACCCATTTTAAAGCTTTAATAGTTTGTTTTTTTAGCTTGCCTCCCATATTCCTCTCTTGGATCTTTATCCCTATCTGCATCTATGTTCTGACAATTCATTTTAAATATTTCTCCCATCTCTGCCCTTTTCCATTGTCTAGCTTCCCAAATATCTACCTCTGTCTCTGTCTCCCTTTCAAAACTGTCTTCCTATATCTCAGCTTACCTTTTTAAATTGCTTAAAATGTTTTCCCCTTGGTTTATTTCATCAGTCATTTTTTGTTGTTGTTATTGTC